CTTCGTCTTCCTCCTCCTCGTCCTCCGTCGCTGTGCTTCCACTTCCAAGCCACATTACTGTCGCTCGCAACTTGCAGCATACAGGCACACCAATCAGTCGACCATCTCTTATCACGGTGGCCAGAATTTCCAGTTCTGACAAGGAATACCGACTCGGCAGCAAGGACACAACGCTCTCGAAGTGGTCAGCAATCACAGGCACACAAATGCTTAGCATGTCTGTGTTCCTGGTTGCAATACCAATTAACCAGATGTTAGCAATGTTGTTGCGGCAAATTCTGCAATGGATTACACAGCAAGCATTTTACTTAGCCTTTCAAAAAACAACTAAGTAAAACGCTAATTAACTGCGTAGACAGCGATACAGCAAAAAGCCTTAACCAGTGCAAAGACACTATGAAACACCCCAATCAGTGCACAAACCTCTCCTCTCCTGCATACAACTACCAAGTCGATTAACCGCACGCCCCTTAGCCTCGTCTGTCTATCCTCGGACCTCATCTCAATCCACATTGCATTTTAGTGAATCACATGAAGTCCATCAACAATCACTCGACCTCAATCAACATTCTCTTCAAGGCCTTCCTTCCTCATTACCTCCGTTTCACTCTCTCCCACAATGCGTCCCCGCTTTTTAAAGCAGTTGCACCAACAACACACCACGAATGACGTAAGTTCTTGTTCACGTTGCTTCCTCAGCACTTGCTTTTCTGCCTCCACGCATCTGCAAATCCTACTCCAGCCTCTGATGCACCCATCAATTATCACCCGATGTCACTTCGAGTGACAGACCAGGACATCAGAAGTTCAATCAAATTGCCCCCGTTCTATGCAGTAGATTCCGTGCCAGAATTAAATGTACAAAAATGAAACTGAATTCACATTACTGTCATCAAATCAACCAACCTGGGCCTCAGATATTCAATGCACCATGTTGCAGCAGTCACGCAACCGAGGTTAGTAGCCAACATGCAAAGGCACAGAGCGCTGTCCATGCTAATCTTGATCCGCCTTGTGTACGCATATTCCACAACCGCCTCTACAATGCTACAACACACACACACACACACTGTCTCACACGAAATGCCGTAACTTATTCTCTACTGCATCTCCGCCACTTCAAAATGCCTCCAGCACAGTGCATCACAGCCTCCTCGATGTGGGAGAAACGACTGGCCGGCACAAGTCGGTGTGGCATCACCTCGTCGCCTTCTTTCGTCCAATTTTACACTAACACTCGATCTCAGGTAAACTTGCCAGCATTCTCACATCGCACAACCGACGCAACCTGTCCAACGGTACGCATGCCAAGTATCCAGGAGGCTCCTCTGCGTAGATCAATCTGTACCATGCCACTCTTTGCCGTGAAATTGTGGTGTGGTGTGGTGTAGCGGAATGACAGACGGCGGCCATATTGGTGACGGTGTCGAGCACGGCGTGGAGGCGGCATCACGTGACCGTTGGTGCGATTTCCGGCTGCGTGGTGGCGTGCGGGCATTGAATGACGCGCCGGGGGCTGAGAGCCAATCCGCTCACGACTTTTCCGTCTCCATTGTAGCGACGCGCAACGGACCAACGGGAGAACAGGATGAACAGGACAATGATATATAAAGCCCCTGTTTTCCCCGTACGTACTGACTTGATTGTGGTTGTCTCGGCCTTTATTAAAGTGCTCCTTTTTGCCTATCTCTCTCTTATTCACCATACCATGGG